ACCGATGACGCGTCTGTAATCCCAGCGCCGCGCGTGGACCGCAGGCTGCGACAGACCCCCCAGGTGCCGAGTCAACACGGAAGCGGCTCTCCGATCCCTCGCTTCCCTGCGGATGACGCGAACCCCTCGCGCCTAGGGTGACGTTTGCCATCACACTTCTCTGGGGACGTGCCGTCAAGCACGGCTCCGCCGGACGCGCGGCAGGCGCCGATAGGAGGCGCATCCGCATCGACCAAATCCCGTCAGTACTGTTGACACTGCGCCGCTTCAATCCAGTTCAGAGGGAGCCGCATAAACCGCAGCAAACCGATACCTGGTACCCTCGTGGTCTTCAGCAAATTAACCGTGGTTATTCTTAAGTTCTGGTTCTTGTCAAGAGGTGCTGGTGGTACATGAGACAAGAGGCCGTACTGAAGCGTTTATTGATGTACATAGCGTCGTCAGACCGTCTAAACCACGAGTGACGCAACAACGCGGAGCAGAGGAGAGTTTCTGGAAACCCAGGCAGCAACGGGATTTCAGATGAGTTTTTCCTTCAAAGCGTCACATGTACCAACGCAAAACTAATAAACATGTACCATCGGGGGGGGGGGGGGGCCGTGTATAACCCCACGCGTGTCACGGGCGTAACCGCGAAATCATCGACAGCTTTTGCGAATGCACCAGGTTATACCGGCGTTCTCGGTTTGAGTCGATTGTGCACGCCTTGGAGTGGACAGCCCTGGACTGACGCGTGCGTGGGTATTTAGGCCGCATGTAAGGGAAAGCGCCGCAAGCGCGCGGACCTCCAAGCGTTGTCAGCGACGGCCCTGACTCGACCGCGATCATGCAACTCGGCTCGATGTTAATCTGATAGGTGCAGCAACATGCGATTGAACGCGAGCGTGGTTTCTGAGGACCCGTGCAAGGAGCACGGACCGCAAGCGAGCGACGTTGCTCGACCACGCGCACTCACACGCAACAGCGCACGTTGGCCCCACGAACTCAGACGCACTGGGCGACTCCTTTCCACACCGGGGCGTTCCTCACCGCCCTTGTTTCGAGGAAGCTCTGTCTGTAGTACTAGAGCTGACGCGCAGTTCATGCAGCCACCGTCCGCCGCTCTCGCTCTGTATGTTGTGAATTTCCGTTGTGTATTGCGGCTACAGATTAGCATCAGGTCTGATTGTGTTCGGGTTATCCGTGTATGCAATGACAGCGCTGAAAACAGCCATTGGTCCGTGACTGAGGTCGGGGAATACAAAAATGGTCCGCATTACGTGACACCTAAGTGGAAAAAATGGAGTACATTGTGCACTCCTTTTGCCACTCTCAGTCAAAAACCTCATGACCGCCTGAACATTTCTGTCACTTTTTAAGTAACCAGGATGTGAAGGGTTTTGGACTAAGTTACAAGCTATATGGCGTACTGAGAAGACGCACAGCACCTCTGTAGTGGGTGTCCCTTACGTCGGTAGTAAGGGCATCACCAACGAAAGCAAAATAACCGATTCCTTTCCTTTGGTACGCTGGGTGTCAGGCGCGCCGCAAGGCCACACAACGATCCTCGTTGCGCCTGAAGAGCGTGTAAGATTTCATATTAAGGACACTCTCTGAATTAATTGAAATGCTCCAATAATGAAAAACAAATAGCAATCTATCACGCTTTCAAAAACCTCTGGCGTCTAAGGCTCCTAGATTGGTAACGGAGCTCCTCCTGGTTTGAAAAGGCTCCCTGTGCAAAAGCCAAATGGGCTTATTCCGATAAAAGAAAAAGAATCTCGCGGTCTCTACGCGAAACCATAGGTCGCGATTGCGGCGCGCTAAGACAAACTTTTGACCCCGGCAAAAATCTGGCTACGTGCCTGGCCAGTGCTCATATGGTGCATCAGGAAAGGTCACCCTGACGATCCGCTGTCTCGCATAAAGGTATCATTTACACGAATGCAGGCATGGGCTTATCTTACTGGTTATAATAATAATACAGTTTACTGTAAACGGCTTTCCTTGCGGAGAAGGAGGCGGTAGTGCGGCTAAAATACTAAACAGTGAGGTAAAAACGGAGTTTATCACACATTTAGCCTACTTTCGATTCACAAGTGGGAGGGCTTAGCACAGAGGCGATGGTCTTAGATCAGTCGGGGCGGCTGAGACCCACTGCCCACCGTTGGCTTACAGCCGACCGTGTTTCTGTCGGTCTGTGTCCTAACAACATGCATAAGGTGGGGGCCACTGTTTTTACCGGGAACTTAGTTGAAAGTCAGTCACCAGCATGTCCCTCCTGCTAAAAATGGCAGCGGGCCTGGTCGGTTACAAGCGCCAGAACAATGCAGTTGGTCGAACTTAGTTCGCACACTGCGCCCACCGACGCTTAGTCTTGACAATGACCTTGCGAGCGCTAGCCGCCGACCGAACAGGCACCTGCTGCACGGCAAGTCCGTCGTGTAATTCGCCGGCTGGGAATGCGCAAACCCAGAGCCCGTTTATTGCTAGTGAAGACCGGGTCCAGCTGTTACATGAGTAAGCTGTTAACCATGGCAATGTCACAAGGCGGGAAATTCGGTTGCGGCAAAATGGCTGTCACGCTTTGTGGTACTATATACTGACTCCCCGTCCATCTCAGGCCGTTGTCTTCGCTACCCTGGTTGTTAAAGCCAATCAAACTTGCGTAAGATTCCTTAGTTAAGGTAAATTTGTGTTGGCACGTGACAAGTTTAAGGTTATTATTAGCTGCGATAGTTCAATGAAAGCTCATAATGTCTCTCTCCCTTTGGGCTTGTCGGGTGGAATTTACATCAAAATTCAAACATGCCTTGCCTATCCGTGTTTGAGTGTTTCATGAGACGGATGGGATAAGTGGTCATCCATTTGTATGGATACAAGCGGCAGAAATGGTAAGAAGTGGCTGCTATCTTCCAATCGTTACATCTGTCCAAGGCCATGAACAGAAACCTGCTATACGCACTAATGCAACAGTCCGTTTGCTCCAATGATGTGAGCAAACATGATTCATGTGCGTCAATGGACCCTGGATTGAAAAGAGATCTTCGTTCATCTCGTTTTGTTTGATTTTCATAAGTTCTTGTTTGCACCACTTCAAAAGCCAGCGTCTGTCGGAATCGAATACCATTAAGAAAATCGAACACATGACTGCAAGAGCGGGATCTCCCGTAAAACGGCTCTATTCCGATTGCAAAGCGACGAACCCATGCGCATTCAATCGATGATAATGCGTACCACCACAAGGAAAATCGAGGCTGACTGATGTACGTCATTATCGATTCGCACCAGACACGCTTAACGTCTGAATTTGCATTATTGACCGCGAGACTGATAAGACCCCGTGCCTTTTTGGTGAAAAGATGCGTGAGTTGTATGGCATGGAAATACCGGAACACTCCCGAAGCCAATTTGATAGCCAAGTTAAGCTGTCCGATGTATTGCAGCTGAATGATTGTATGGCAGTACCACAATACCCCGCAAGAGAGTTAAAGCTTATCTGGTACCATGCAACCGATCGCCAACACATGTCGACGTTCGTGCGCAATTCCGCCTCACCCTTAAAAGCAAATTTTTGTGAGAATCGCTCTAAGAGTTTTAAAACAGGACAACCTGTCGGGGCTCCATCCAGACAAGCCACCAATCACTTTGTCAGCGTTTCGTCGCCGGACTTCTTGGCTTCTTGACACGCGGCGTCAAACAATGCGAGGCCACGCTTAAGCAACATATAGGAGCTGGATCATCTGTGTGTACGGATGAGATCATAGTCCGCATTCTCTGCGACGTCTCGGTAGTTGCGCAGCTACTGGTGACAGCCCTGACAGCGGGACGAGACGGTGACGACCTCCCATACCGCGCAGCCACAGCTGCTCCACGGACCCGATTATTATCAAAATATGTATTCGTCCTAGTAAATTACAATACAAAAGTTTCGCACAAGCTATCACAATATTCGTGAGGAACAGGAGGACCTAAGCGAGAAGAACCATAAAACCGTGAGGAAATCTATGAGAAGCCAAACATACACACATACACAACAATCCGACCACTGCCCATTCATTTAATATCATGAAAACGAATTGGGACGCTCGAGCGATTATCATTGATCATTTCCGACCGGAACCGATTATGGCCCCGAGTGACGGTAGCTATTATGCAGACGGCAGCCAAACACCCCTCCCCGCACGGTCGCCGGTGCCAGCACCGCGAAGCACGCGCAGACGGCCGGCAGCACGACATCGCCACCCACGCCGTCAATCGCGCGCCAGGGACGCGGCCACCGCGCCGCGTGAAATCTGTTCCGCGGGACGCTCACAACCCGTCTGCCGGGACAAGGGGGACCTGACCTCTGGACACACAGCCCGTCACGCGGATGGAATGCCTGTAACCCGTCCACCGGGCACTCACAACCCCTGCACAGACGCGGGGCAGCTGTGCTCGGGGTCGTCCGCCGCTGGGGCTTCAAACACACCCAGGCGGACATCTGCCGGGGCCGGGCGGGCGTCTCCGGCGCCCCGCCGACACCGCGGCCGCGACGCCAGCCGCTCTCTTGTAGCAACACGTGGCACAGTCACCGCTCCAAGCAACACAGTTCTCCAGAGCGCGTATTGCTGGTCCCCTGGGAAGTCCCACGCAACAGCGCCGACTCGCCCGGCTCGGCGCCCGTGCCGTGCCGGCTTCCGACCGACCGGCCGGCCGGGTCAGCGTCTACTTGGGGTCGATGAGCCTGCTCTCTTCGCTGGACGAGTCGCCGTCGCCGTCGTCGGAGGGCAGGTCGATGCTCGTGTGGCCGGCCATCAGCGGGCCGGGCAGCGCGCGCACCACCGTCACGTCGGGCCGCGGTGCGCCCGCCGGCTTGCCGTTGGGCGGATCGGCGTCCGTGAAGTCGGCCGTCGAGTAGCCGACGGGCAGCGCCCGGTAGCCGGCGTGGCGGCCGGCGCGCCGCTGCCGCCACAGCGCCAGGCCGAGCACCACCAGCGCGGCGGCCAGCAGCAGCACGGCGGCCAGCACGCCGCCGTACCAGCGGTCGGCGGCGCGCGCGCGCGCCAACAGCTCGGTATTGAGGCAGGCGGTGCCGAGCTGACCGGCCGTGAGCGAGGCGTCGCCGTGGCAGGCCGAGCACTGGTAGTCGTTGGGCCCGCTGCAGACGGCGCACGTGTAGTGGCACGGCAGGCAGGCGAGGCCCTCCTGATCGGCGTACGTCTTGGCCGGACAGGACGCGAGGCACGCGCCATCCGACAGCAGCTTTCGCCGCTCGCACTCTGGAACGTGGCGCCCGGTCAGGCGGGCACCGCCGACACGGCGCCCGACGCGCACGCAGCCACACACAGCGCGCTGTCCGGTTCGGTGGACCACGCGTCAGCATTCTGAACGGTGACGATATGCCGTGCGCCGTGATCTAATCTGCGCCGCCGCAGCCGGCAGCGCTTCCGCCCACTGTCCTCCCAGACAAGAAAAAACCCTCGCGGTATTTCAGGGCACACGACACGAAAACGGCGCAAAAAATCACACGCAGACCAGCAGGAGCTAAATCCCCCAAGCGCACGCCCCGCCCTGCAACAAAGAAGCGCGCAACTAGCGCAGCCGTCCTCGGGAAGTCCAGAGGAGAGAAGAAGTGGAGCTTTGCACTGTAGAAGGAGCACGTCGAGGATGTGAGAAGTGTCTCTGGATCCCGACTACGGGAGCACCATGCGTTTGGGAATGATCAGAGGTCCAAACTCCTACCCAGCACCAGTCCTGAGCGCACCAGTCGCATGCAATTTCCGTAATAATAGAAGCATGAGCGGCGAGGCCTCGTCGGTGATGAGGCGACAAGCTACGCCGAGCACACTGCAACAACCCACCCGCCCGGTCGCGTGTATTGCACGTCCCAACCGCCGCGGCTGTAACGTAACACGGCGGGCGTGACGCGGCTTTGGCGTGACCCGAGCCGACGACTGCCGTCCGCTCTCGCCCCGCGCGCGGCGCTCAGTCCCAGCTGACGCGCCGCGGCGGCAGCGGACGTTTGAGCGGCGAGGTGGCGGCGCCACACCGGACCGGGGCGGCGGGTGAAGCACCGTCGGCGCTGGCTGGCCAGCCGGCAGCTGGTCCGAACAGGCGCCGCACCGACGCGACGGGCGGGGCGAGTTCGTGGCGCGCTGGCAGGCCCAGCAGGGCGTTCCCAATCAGACAGGCAGGCAGGCGGACAGGCAGGCAGACAGGCAGGCAGACAGACAGGCAGGCATGCAGACGGGCGGGCAGGCAGCCCGGCGGAACAGACAGGCCGACAGCCGGGCAGCGGGGAAGCAAGGCGCGGTCGGCGGCGGCTCCACTCACCTGGGTCACCTGCACCAGAGCCCCGGGACCTGCGGCGGCCGACTCCGGCCCGGGACGGCCGGACGGCCCGGCCCGGCCAGGTTAGTGGCGGCGCGTCGGGCGGCGCGCGCGTCGCGGTCGGCGCCGACCGGCGGGCGCGGGTACGCCCGACGAACGGGTCGACGCGCAGGGGGAGAGGCGGAACGATAGAGACAGAGAGGCAGAGAGACAGTGAGAGCGGGTGACAGAGAGAGAGAGAGAGAGAGAGAGAGAGAGAGAGAGAGAGAGAGAGAGGGCACCTCCACCCCCGCTACCTGCTGTGCGTGTAGGCGGTCTTCCTTGGGGCGTGTGGTAAGGTGCTGGTATGTCCGTATAGCACTGGTTAGGTAGGGGTGCAGGGGGATGGGGTCACCCGTCGGTTGTGAGGAGGCTGGCGGACACATCCCGGGGGAATGTCAAAATCTTGGGCCACATAATGTGAGACTGAACCCATCAATGCGGTTCGCTCGACCGCACCCCAAGCTGGCAACGGCTTAGGTATGTGAGAAGTCTTGATATGACGCACACACTCTAGCTTCGCGCGATTACCAATCGCGGTCAGACCTCATCGTTCAGTGCAGTACACAGCTGATGAGCCTAGTATCCGCTATCCGGTATCCGGTATCCGCTATCCGCTATCCGGTATCCAGCATCCGGTCTGCGATCTGCCGGCGCGGACGCCGCAGCGCAAGAGGGGTTGATAGAGAAAGGCAAGGAGGCACGGAGAAAGACAGACAGAGAGAAATACAAAAGGACAGTTAATGATAGTGCAGAGGCACAAGCTCGGCCTGCTACTTCCTTGGAGGCGGATTGCGGCAGAAAGCTTCTTGCTCATGCCAAGACCAGAGTCACATGGCAGCGACATCATCGTTTATTCACAGTATCCGCATCGTAGGTAAAGGGAAATGAGTATTAAAGATTGCATATAAAACTATCGTCTAAAAGTTTAATATCTCATCGTTCCTCTTGTACTGTGAGCAGCCGAATATTGCAGTGCCTGCACTATTCGCCAGACGTCAACAAGTGAATGGCAGCACACGGCTGGTCAGGGCTGCTTTGGATCAGGAGCTGTAGACGATCAGGAGCTGCGGAGGATCAGGAGTCGTGCTGGGCGAGGAGCTGCGCAGGGTTGAGTGCACGCATCGGCCGCGAGTGTGGACCCGCGCCGGTTCTGCCGGAGTGCGAGGCTGCACGCAGCACACATCAACATGAGGGCCGTAACAGAGGACGGGCGAACAACGTGGCCAAAAGGCCAAGCCGCTACAGCTGCGTTTCTTCTCACATGATCGGGACGCTGCCACTTTCCGAAGCGAACGGCGACTAAAACGGTGAGGTAATGATTACACGGCTAATCAGAGGGCTGCACGATAAAACTAGGAAGTCTTTTGAGATCACCATGGACGCAGACGGCGCCGACCCGAACTGGCAGAGGTGGTGGCCAGCTCGCCGGGGCACGGCGGCGGCGGCCGGAGGCGCCCCGGCGGCGCCGACAATAATAAACGGACGCCGCGCAATCCGCCGGCAAACCAACAACGCAATAGGAACTGGGGTGTGGGCGGGCGTCCAGCCCAGTCCGGGGCCGTTGCGGTCCGCTGCGCCGGCCACGCCGATACGGCGACGGCGGCGCGCGCGCACACACGCGCACAGGAACACACGACCACTGACGACACGCACGCGACGACGACGACACTGAACGCCACGCTGGCCACGCCGCCGGCGCGTACACTGCCCGCTATTGCCCGTTAAACTGCGCGCGCTATTTGAACTGAGGACGACCTGTCCGCGAGGACTATTCGAATGAGGTGGGCCAATGCGGTGCATCCGGTGCGCGAGCGAACGGCGGTGAGCAATCGTTTGGCACAATACTGATCTACGGACACCAACAGGTCGCGGGGGAGCGGCGGGGCCACCGTGCCGCCCTCTCTCGGCAGCCGACGAAATCACATGGGACCGACGCTCGGTCCCTGGGCGGGGCGGGACGGGGCGGCCGGCGCGCGGCGCCCGCTACCGGGGCCGCAGCAGCGCCGCCAGCGTCAGGCACCAACCTAGACAGAGCAGGCTCTCCGGATGGGCGCGCAGGCAACCGGGCAGCCTGGCCAGCGGCGGCGGCTGGCTGGCGGCCGGCGCCGCCGACGACCGGTCCGAGCTGGGCGTGGGCGCCGGCGGCGGCGGCTGCGGCGGCGGCGCCGTGCCAGCCTGCACCTCGGTGCCGAACATCACCAGCGTCCAGTCAGAAACGGTCGCTGTAACGGACACGGCGTCAGTCGGGCGCGAGCGATGACACCAGCACCCACGGGCGACGGGTGAAGTCGCCCTCATCACGCCTTTGAACTTTTAACGTTTTAATGGCCAGGTCCCAGGTCTAACAGACGAGAAAAGAGAGGTGACAACTAAACCACGCCAAACTCTTCGGCAGGGCACATGCTGGTAAATTTACGTGTCGAAGCATCGCTTGTCAGTTTTGCCTCAAGTGTTTAGACAAAGCTTAGCCTGGTAACGGCAAACATGCCTTTTCCCGCTCCACTCGCAAGATTCAACACAGACGAGCGAGGGTTGCTCGTAATAATTAAGATTGTGTTCCATTAAGACTTGCTGTGTTCCATTAAGACTTGCTGACAGTTGACTTGTAACGGATGAGAGCTGTACAATGTCGTGCTGGTGTGCCCGAACACGGTTGATCATGTTTGTTGTAATTCCAACCGCACGGTTGGTCGTGCTTGTTTCAGTGAGAACAATGTACTACTTTCCAGCACGTTTTGTAATCGCCGTCAAGTTTCCGCTGCCATGTTTTACGTCACGACTCGAGGTGTGATGGTAATGGTGTGATGATGGTGATGGGTCGAGGTAACACATTCCTGGTGTTAATCACATGTAAACACACGGATAACCAAAAAAAGCCCGGAGTAAACCCACGTTGGACCCTGCTATGAATCGCTGGCGAAGCGGCACTGAAACAGGAGCAATGCAGCCTCGATACAGTGTGCCAAACACTGCCGGTCCGTTTCTGACAAGCTCACGGCAATTGTCATAAGGCATTGCAGCACACACACTTCAACGCAAAAATCATGCTTGCGCCACACTCCGGAGCGAGGGGCGGCAAATGAGCAACATCCACGCCTGAAAGCAATAATCCACGTCCGGGACAACAGCACTGCACAACAAAACAGTACATTCCACGGCAGCCAACAATGTTACAACGGTCACAGGCAAGCCGGCCGCATCTACAAAAAAGCACGCGTATCTCGCACATCTACACAAAAGTGCACATCCGGGTCGCTGCAAAAATCGGCGGCGCAGCTGAGGCTTGGCCTCAGCCGCCATGCCAGCGGCGCACCAGTCGGTCGCCGCATACTAGGCGCGACCGGGAGCGGCCGGGCGGCCGGGCATGCAGCGCCGCGCCCCCGAGGCGCCCGGTCGGGTCGGCACACACAGCGGCCGCATGCGGCAAGACGAAGCCGTGTACAGGGCAGCGCTGATGACCCACGGGACCGGGACAGGGCGCGGAGACGGAACGGGGCCCGACGGGTCCCGTGGGAGCGCGGGGACGGGACCTGGACGAGGCAGGACCGAGACGAGACAGGACCGGAGGAAGCACGGGAACAGGACTGGGGGGAGGCAGATCCAGTAGGAGCGGCGACGCAGGTCGGGGACGGTGCAAGTTGGACCGGACCACGACAGGGGACTGGCCACTGGAGACAGGCGGGGCCGAACACAGAGGTGCGCTGGGACCAAGACCGCTGGCAATACAGGGGGAAGGAGCGGGTAGCGACGATCCGGCTCAGGCAGGACGACGACGGTCCCGCAGCCGAGGCCGGCGCTGGACTACACGATGCAGCGAGCACTCAGTACGCGCGGCGACCGCTCGTCCTGCAGAGGGCGCTGGGACGGCGCTGCCCGTGGCCCGGGAGCGCGTCGCGTGCCGGCCGGCGCCGCTACCTGGCTGCTGGCTCTGCCTGTGCCGGGAGAGCTGGTCGGGCCGCTGCTGGGCGCGGCCGGCGCCGCCCGAGAGCGCCGGCCGGTACGGCTGCCGGCCGTCTGACTCCGAGTGGCGCACGTGCACCCCGGAGCGAGGCGGCAGCAGCAACGGCGGTGGCGGCGGTGGCGGCGGCGCGGCGGCGCGCGCCGCGTTCGGATTATAAGGCACGCCGTACAGAACCAGCGTCCAGCGCGCTAACACAAGTTCGCCTGGCGGGAGCGGGGTCAGAGCGATAGACGGGCCGTCACCGACGCCGGGCGTACGACGGGCGGACAGGGGCGCCGCCGGCGGCGGGTGCTGCAGACACGGGTCCGGCTGTGAGCGGTGGCCACACGCGTGAAGCGCCCGCCAGGGGCCAGCAGCGGCGCCCCGGCGGGCGGCACTCAGGTGCAGCAACGACGACACTGCACCACCACCATCCCCGAAACGGCACACAAGCCACTGGACGCGCCCGATGCAGAGATGCCCACGCGTGCGCCCGGTACGGGACACACCGCCTCGGGCGGCGATCCACAGTGGCGCCGGGCGAGCCCACACCCGTGTGCCAGCCAGTTGCGTGTCGCCGCTCGGTGGGGCCGGGGCGGCCGACGCCGCCTCGCCCCTCCGACGACCGGCGGCGGGCCCGCACAGCAGGCGGCAGCGCCGCGGCACGCACCTGAGTAGCGGCCGTCGTTGTGGATCTTCAGCGACCAGGTGCCCAGCGGCGACTCGTCCCAGTTGTGGGTCGTCATGAACGGCCACTCCTGCCGGGCGCCCGCAGCCGGTGAGCACACGACGCCGCACCACATCGAGTCGACACGAATCGAATCGAGCTGTCCCGCACACCGTGCCATTCGGGCACAACAAAATGGGAGCTGTGCGGTCCTTCAGCGCTGGGCTGTAGCATACCTAAACATCGACGCATTAGAAACCCACCGCAGCGTTAAACTAGCTCGCTTCGGGCGTGATACCACAACAAACATGTGTCTGTCACGGCGGAAATACCGGCGTGGTGACATGCGGCTCGCACAGGCCAACGGAGCGGTGAAAAGTCACTGTGACAATCCCAGCGCCCATTGTCATCCGCTGACACTGCCGCCATGACAGGTCCCGTCGGGTCATCCGCCTTCCGCCGACACTCCCCACCTGTGTGGTGCACAACGTCGAAAACAATGGAAGGTTCCAGAGCGACAAGTGTTTTTAAAAAAGTGGGCGTAACACGGCGCCCCGAATCACATTCACTAAGACAATAACAAAGGACTAACGTCAAACCGGCTTGTCACAGCGCATTTGCCCCGTTTGAAACCGAATAACGCCATCAGTGATCAGGCATGACCCTTGTGCCTGCAGGCCGTGACTGCGCCTGTGCTTGGCACTAATCTATGGGTGTTTTGGCGGCCCGCGATACCATCTGCCCCCATCAACAAGCCGACACTTGTCGTGGCAATGGCCTTACAAGCCTTCAGAAAGGCCATCATCGTTCAGCGACCTGATCTGAGATGAGAAGCATACCGGTCCCACGGTAAGCCGAACCAAACTAAGGTGGTTGCAAGTCTTCCGAGAAACAGCGACAGTACTGTATGTTGTCGCGTATTCAGTTGTTGAGTTTCGAGACCTCCGTCTCTCTTCTCCCTTATCTAACTTTCCGACCCCATGGCCAAAACCCGAGGGGTACCTACGGTACTGATTTTGCGCACCTGTACGCGATATATTATGAACCTTGAACCGCCCTCGGGCCAGATTTGTGGACAACATCCGTCCGCACTGGCAAGTCCACGGTCTGGCGTCTCCTGGCTCTGCAGCGGCACAACTGGCCCTGAGCCTGTCCCCAACATCTGGCAAGGTTCCGTCACCGAGCGCTTATCTCCGGAGCGCAGGTGTCGAGCAAAAAGGCGGATGCTTGGCTCCGGCCGCATTTCCGGCCCGTGCCAGCCTTTGGCCTGGCACTAGTTCAATTGCGTGGCGCCTGGTGCTGGGAGTAGCGATGCCGCAGTCTGCTGGTCCGGCGCCGGTTATATGCTGTGCCTTCCTGCGAAGTCGAACCTAGGCGACCAAAGCGGCCGTGCGACTTCTATCACGTTCAGACTTTTGCCACCATGACCTTTATCTCGTACAATCCTTATCTCGTAAAATATTTTGGTATACGATATTTTTCCTCACCATCTGTCTCCAACATCTTGATCTCGTACGACCTTTTCTCATCAGGAAATCGATTCCGTGTGACTCTGAAACATTCAACTTTTCCCCTGGTTGCCGGCTTGCACCGACCCCGACATCAGCCAGGCGCCAGTGGTCGGTGACCCCTGCCCTCGCCTCGTGACCCGGACTGACCCCAACGTCAGCCAGGCACCAGTGATGACCCTGGTCCCTGCCGGCCACTGCTACTGACCCTGAAGCCAGCCCGGGACGAGTCGTGCGGCCGCTTGTCCAGCAGTGTGCTGGTGGTGCCGGCCGGCGAGGTCAGGAACACCTTGATGTCACCGCGCCGCGTGGCCTCCAGGCTGATGCGGGCCTGCACGTGCTCCATGTACTTGACGCTAGGACACTGGGCCACCGTCAGCGTCAGCACCACCATACTGTGAGGCGGCACCAGCCTGCGGCACACACACAGCACCAGGTCAGCACCACCATACTGTGAGGCGGCACCAGCCTGCGGCACACACACAGCACCAGGTCAGCACCACCTGACTGTGAGGCGGCGCCAGCCTGCGGCACACACACAGCACCAGATCAGCACCACCTGACTGTGAGGCGGCACCAGCCTGCGGCACACACACAGCACCAGGTCAGCACCACCTGACTGTGAGGTGGCGCCAGCCTGCGGCACACACACAGCACCAGGTCGGCACCACCTGACTGTGAGGCGGCACACACCAGCACCAGCCCTGACGTGAGCCACACACACAGTACAGGTCAGCACCACCAGACTGTGAGGCGGCACACACACAGCACCAGGTCAGCACCACCTGACTGTGAGGCGGCGCCAGCCTGCGGCACACACACAGCACCAGATCAGCACCACCTGACTGTGAGGCGGCACCAGCCTGCGGCACACACACAGCACCAGGTCAGCACCACCTGACTGTGAGGTGGCGCCAGCCTGCGGCACACACAGCACCAGGTCGCACCACCTGACTGTGAGGCGGCACACACACAGCACCAGGTCAGCACCACCTGACTGTGAGGCGGCACACACACAGCACCAGGTCGGCACCACCTGACTGTGAGGCGGCACACACACAGCACCAGGTCGGCACCACCTTCCTGCGGAGCGGCCCGCAGCATCGCACCAGTCCGCACCGCCCTAAGTGAGGTGGCACAGGCACAGAACGGATGGACAGAGGCGGCGCCGCGCGGGCGGCCAGCCACCTACTTGTCGACGTGGCTGGAGGGCGTCTCACACTTGTGCTGTTCGGGCACGGGCGTCCAGCGGCGCGCCAGGTTCACCATGGCCGTGGCGTCCATCAGGCCGTAGCCGAACGAATGGCTCACTGCGGCAGATCGGCGCCCGCGCACCATCCCGTCAGTGGTCGGCTGTCGGGGCGGCCGACCCGCGGCGGGGGCCGACAGCCAACAGGCTGGACACGGTGAGCGCGGGCCAGTCCGGAGCGGGCGCAAACGGTCCTTGCCGTGCCGTTGCACTGTCGGGCCCGGGCCGGTCTCAGCCTGAGTACTTTGGAGTCGAATGCAGTGACATTCCCGTCACGGTGGCAACCACACTAAGGATTGTCCGAAGTCTGGGTAATCCGTAGAGTGCGCTCCATCACCCCCCCCCCCCCCCCCCCCCGCCCTCCAATATGCAACATCCTTCGAACCATTACTGCCACGGCCAAGCCGCGCCGTTGGTCCTGTTGTACAGCCGCGTACCTCAACACACACCACCCCCGCCACACCCCCAGCGTCCCCCCCCCCCCCGCCCCCGTCTTGTGGCATACCGTTGCGGCCGACGCCGTTGGTGACCCAGTCGGGCGCCTGCAGGTTGGCGCGGCGCGCCGTGCGCACCACGATGTGCTGCATGTCGCGCCAAGTCAGCCGCTCGTTCACCTGGCGGCCCGGAGCGGCGTCAGCTGGCGTCGGCCGGCGACCGTGGCCGCCGGGCGCGCCGCGGTGCGCCGCCGCGCCTCGGGGTGCAGCGCCGAGCCGCCGCTCGCCAGCGGCCTGACCGGCGCCGGCCGTGACGGTGCCGGTCGCGGGTCGGCGACGGTCGATGCCGATGGGCCGCATCGGCCGGGGGCGGCTCGGCCGCGTGTCGGCAGGCGATCGATCGGCCGCGACACGCCGTCACAGCGTCAGCGCCCGACTCAATTGGACCAATTACTTCGGCCGGCTCAACAAACAAAGCGGGGGCTGGCAGCTGCGCGGCGCAACAACTGCGAACAAACAGACGGCGCCGGCTGACGGTCCGGCGCCGGCTCCCAGTATTGACGGCCGCGTGGGCGCCCGGCCGACAGGTTGCCATAGAGGGCTCCCACGCGCGCTCAATTTCCGGCTCAGCGACCGAGTGTCAATTCAATCGCGGCCCGTCAGGCCACTTGGAGCGCCCGGTCGATGCGTCGGCCCACCCGCGGCCCGGCGGCGGCGATCGGGCGGCGCGATACTGCGATAACTGAGGCGCGTGGGCGGCAGGACGGCCCACGGCCCAACGGGTCAAAGATGGTCCGCACAAAGGTCCCACGAGATCTGCGGATTGGTCACGAGGTTCGAAGAACTGTGTGCTCACTAAATGTGCTGGACGGAGTGGTCCGATGTGGTTCGGTACCCGGGAATCAATTTCAACGATACACGCATCTTTCTTAAAAAGTGCGCGTTTCTGATGGCACCAAACTTTGCAAGGCAGTCGCAATTTTTACAATCCTTACGTAGACATTCCGGTTCACTCGCAGACAGCGGCACCATCTCCGGAACAAGCACCAGCCGAGTGATCAGCCGAGCTCGGGCTGGAGACGCGCCCGAAGACAGCGCACAGGCCGCCCCACGCCGAGGTCCGAAGGTCACACACCCCGGAGAGGGGAGGGAGTGGGAGCGGCCCCGCGTCCCCGCCGGACCGGAGGGTTCCCAGGGAGGTCGGCTCAGTTAAAAACAGTTGAGAAATACTGAAGGGGCTGGGAAATACAGGGGGATCTCGGTTGCGCCAGAGATAGCAGCTCGGGTGAGCAGTCTGCGGGGCAGGCCTCGGCAAACAGAGACGGCTGACTTCAGAGACCCCGACAGTCCAGAGCTGAGGAGGCGGGAAGCACCGGCCCCCACGCAGCGATGATAACCCGCTCCTGCGCCCGGGGCAGGTCACACCCCACAAGAGGGGAGGGGAGGGGGGTCCCAGCGGTCCTACCTGGCCGGCCAGGTGCCAGGAAGGACCGTCCGATCTAGGCTAGAGGCCTTGGGCCCAGGTTAAAGAGAGCCCTAGGCCAACCTAGGTCACAGAGGGCCCCAGATTCACGTCGAAGAGAGCCTCGAGACAAACCCACATCAAGGAGCCAGGCTCATCAAGGAGAGCATGGACCAGGCTCCGGTTAGGAAGACCATTTGGAAAGCATGAAGGTCTGGAGCCGCCCTCACAAAGACCACCATCAGAGTGAGCCCTCCGACGAGCCGCGATCAGTAGGAGTTCTCCGACAGGCCCAAGTCACGCTGTCACTGCACACACGCACACACACACACACACGAATGCACACAGCCCGCTACGTACCGCCGCCGGCCGGGCACCGCCGCTGTCGGCAGAGGGACGGGAACACGGTGAGTGGGCGACGGCCGGTCCCGCCGGCCGGGCCACGACGCGGTCCGCCTCGGCTGCCGAACGCTGTCAGGCGCCGCACGTTGGCCCCCCTCCCGCCCCCACCTCCTCCACTGCAGCGGGACACACGCTCTCGTCGATTTGGTTATTTCACAGAAGCGTACTTCACTTTGCGCACAAGATGGCCATGAGTCGGCGGTCTAGACCTCGACGCCCGCCCACGCCTGGCACCAGACACCACGTGACCCCGGCGCCGTTACCGGCGGTGAGCGCGAGCTCGTGCCACCGTCGCAGCCCGCGGGCGGCGCTGGACCGGCCGTACCTGCAGGGCGAGTGCGCAGATGCCGGCCGCCAGCGGCGCCGAGGCCGAGGTGCCCGTGTGGGTGGTGGTGCAGCCGCGGTGCAGGTCCGTGGTCACGATCTGCCGGCCGGACCGCGGTCAGCGAGGCCAGACGCCGGTGGCGGGGCGCGACACGAAGCTGACCAACGGGGCGAGATGTTGGCACAAGAGCGCTAGGCGCGTGGACGGAAAGAAGAGAACATGCAGGGTAGGACTGACCTGCGCACTACTCCTCGGGAATCACCTAGATGAACTTATCATTAAAATTTTAGAGAGACTAAATACACCAGCGTCATTGCCAGCCGGCTCACCGATCACTCGTGCTGGCTCAACTCGTCCACACAGCGGGAAGCGCACAACCTGTCGCCACGCTCAGCCCAGCGAGCACATCCCCACTCTCGGCGCGTTGTCCAGCCACTCGCCTGCTTCTCGAGGCCCGAGCCGGAGCTGTAGGTGGTGGCCAGCGTCGAGCTGCACGCCTCCGAGTACCAGGGCACGTGGCCGTTCTCGGTGGCGCTGCTGATGCTCAGCGTCCACAGGCTGTTGGTGTAGCCGTCGCAGTTGCAGTTGTCGCGCTCGCGGCCGCCGTTGCCCGAGGCCCAGACGAAGATGGAGCCCTTGCCGCCACGGCCCTGCCGGCGCCGGTAAGTCCTGGCGTCTCAAAACGGCGCGCCACTTCCGGCTGTGCTCGCGCCCCGGACGGGGACGCGGCGCTCGCGAGACGGGTGACGAAAGCGGCCCTTCCGTAGTCCTCCCCCCCCCCCCCCGGGGACGAAGGGACAGAGTCCTACCGGCTGGTGGCCGGATATGACGATGGTTACAAGCTGCCGTCAGTGACTGTGATCATGACCGCTGCCAGAAATATGTAGCTTAGCTTCGAGTGCAGCTCGCAGAGTTTTCCGCCCCGTCACCTTTGATTAATAGCAAAGCCCGAGGGCGGACCAGCCAGCCATGTTACACTTCGAGCTGAAACCGACCGTACGCGAGCTCAGAAGACAAAGTTCGGCGGTTAATGAGCACGCGGGGGAGCAGCATTTTACGTAACATGGATGATATTACTAAAGACAGACGCGCGGAGACTGTTGTGTCAATTTCCGCAGACACCCAATCAATCCGGCGCGCTGGACCGTGGATGACAACCAATATAGCCGACCTGATAGAGGGATATTAAGATAATGTCTTATGTCCTACACACAAGCTGTAGCAATGCATACTACGCATAGCCATGAATACTTTAATTAATGATGCTTGAATGAAAACACTCGCATGTTTATAACAATTAACGCTTTATTTTCAATGCCCCCAGTGCTGCCTGGTGTAGCAGTACGTGGTTCTGAGGAGCCCACCGTCCGCGGTTCCTCGGACCAGAGCAGCGGGACCGAGTGGGCCGTCAGTGCTTACGTTGATGATGCCCTCCTTGAAGGCGCGCCTGGCCAGCTCGCCGGGCCCGTCGACCGTCTCGCCGTCGTCGTCCGGTCCCCAGCTGGCGCTGTACACGTCGATGTGCTGCTGGTTCAGGCTGAGCGAGCGCGCCTCCACCGCGTCCGTCACCTCGCCGTCCAACATCCGCACACCTGGCGGCCGACGGGCGAGGCTCAGCTGCCGCATTCCGCGCATAGGTGGCGGACCGGTCGACAGCGGTGACGCGGCACGGGGCCTACGGTCAAGGCCCGGCCGCGCGGCCTCTCGCAGACGAGCAGCCGCCGCAACCCGCCGACCGCAGCGGAGAACACGCGGCCGCCCCCCCCCCCCTCCCGCTACTCCTCCCCCAGGGTCACGGCCGGAGCGGCGCGCGCGCGCGGCCAGCCGCGCCACCGCCCGCGCTCGGCCCACCGGACAGGCCCATTCCGGCGGGGCGGTCGGCGGCCGGGTGGCTAGCGATGGCGCGCGGGCCGTACCGCCGATGTTGGCCTCGAAGGCGACGCCGACGGCGCACAGCGAGTTGTTGGCGCCGCCGGCCACCTCGCCGGCGCAGCGCGTGCCGTGCCGGTTGCTGTCGTTGAGGTCGTAGCGCGGCTGCGGGTCCGTGTCGCGGCTGTTGACGTCGTAACTGGCCATCGGGTCCTGCCGAAGACACATTCCGCATCAGTCTTGGCGGGTCGGCTGCCGAACGCACGGATCACGTCCGTCCGGGCCGGCCGGCGGCGCTGGTCAGTGCCAAGCATGCCATGCGGTCGACGGCACGCGCACCGAACACACGTGGAGAGGGCGCTGTCGGCTGCTGAGCGGCCAACTCGGTGCAGAAGTCAGCGCCGCACATGGCGCCCATCTTGCGCGGCAAGTCACTACATCAATAAATACCGATTCACATGTAAACGTCGCATTCCAGGCCAAGTGCGCCGTGGGCCGGCAGATTTCGTGCGCGATGTGCGCCGCGCAGTGAGCCGCCGTTCAGCCACAATCTGTCGCCTTCAAGTCATGACCTGTCTGCTCTTCAGTCCTTGACTGGCCCGTCGGGCAGCCAGCCACTCACAGAGCAAACCTTGCGCGGTTACCCCAACAAATATGACGACACCGGAGATTCCTCAGACCGCACAGGTGTTTTTCCCAGGCTGCGTGGCGTCAGTACAGGCAGCTCGACTTTGGCGCAGGCAGGCGCGACTCAGCTGCAGGCGCGACAGCCGACCTCTCAGCGCGAGACGTGGTGATATGAGCGAGCGAAAACACACCACATGTGCCGAAGACATATCCCTCAGCCGGTGACAAATAAATCTCCGGTGGCTACATTACAGCGTGGCCAGAGTTATGAACCTGTTTGTAAGCGCATCCCGAGAGGCTCGATATCAGTGAAGCCCATTAGATAAGAAAGTTCATCGTATACCATTTTATCATTCATCATATATTCATCATACCATCATATCATTACAATCGTATACCATTTTTTTTGCCGCGGCGTCTCGGTACCAAACTTGTTTTTCGGTAAGCATCGTCTGCCGATAAACATCGGCCACAGCACAGGGCCCTTCTGCGCAGTCTCCCCGTTATCAGCGGAATGCCCCACATGTTTGACTGAACGTCTCACACAGCCGGCGTTTCCTGCCGAGCGTCCCCGGAGAGCGTCACACTACGGTTCGTTTACGACGCGAGCAGAGTGGCACACCCCCGCCATGCTTACACGAGGCCATCTCGCCGTGACAAGGCGAGGTGTCGCAGCACTGCTAACCGTCCCGCTGACAGGGCGCAGCCGGCCCAGATCTCGTCCGGATGAATCACGGCCGCTGTCCACACGTCAGTCGGCGCTCATTCCGCCGCCGCCGGCGCTCATTGGTCGGCGCCGCGGTGACGAGCGCCGCCAGCCCAGGACGGACAGACGGGCGGCACGCTCGCGGCGGCGTGCGTGGGCTGCAGGTCACGACCGGGCGCCGTCCGCACGGCCACCTGCGTGATCGCCGACACCTGGGGCCGGGTCAGGACGCGCCGCGTCGAGCCGCGCCGTCTACGGAGTTGGGAACAGCGGGCGGCCGTGTACGTGGATGTATGTACATCCGAGATGCCATGGACAGAGCCGCAACAACGCCGTGGCGTCGACGGCGAACACCTGCACTTGCCACGGTCTGGCTTCTACAGTGATCAAAGGATTGTGACGTGCACTGAATCTCCGACTTTCCCCGCCGGATTTGCTGCAGGGCGATTCAAAAAAGAGACTTCCCAGACAGTTGTCGGCTTATTTCAGAAATCCTTGAAAGAATTAAAAGGAGCAAACTAGAAGATTCTACCAGAATCGAAAACCTTTGATGCCTAATGAACTCGACTCAGGGATCCGACACAAAAAGGATGAGCGCCACTAAACCTCGCCAGCTGGCGTCCCCGCGCGCGCAGGGACACCACACCGCGGCCTCTCCCGCGCCCCGGGGGAGCGTGCGCCGCGCCGAAATAGACCGGTTGGACGGGAGACAGGCCGAGCGGTGGCAGCGACACCACGCCCAGAGACACGTCCCCTCCGACAGAGGCACGACGACTGCGGCCGACGCACGGGCTCACGCGCGTGCCACGAGAGAGCCTGCGCGACATGGGGTTTGGCACGGAGTGACACGTGGTGGGACGAGTGGGCGTTCTTGCCGTCTGAGCAGTCCTCGAGAGGCAACCGGCGCGGGGCGCGACGCCGAGCCCAAACACGGCGTTGATGGGCCATGAAGAGCCCCCCCCCCCCCCGCGGTGAAGAAGGGAACAACGAGGCGGACTGGCACGCAGCCTCAGGAGACGTGCAATTCAACGAGACATGCCGGGCGTAGCGTTTCCTTGCTTGGCACAAGGAAAAACAGCACTGAAAAGTACTGACCGCCGGTACGCTCGCAGCAGACCAGCGGCGAGGAGCAGCCGGCAAGAGCCCAGCCCACTTCCCGCAGCCCGATTTACCCAGCCTTCGCACGCCGCACTATGCATTCCAGCGCGTTGTCCGCCCCCGTGCACGGAGCGAGTTGCCTTGTCGGCGGTCACTGTGCGCGAACCAGCAGTCCGAGCTGGCGCCGGCGGTCACAGCTCGGCTGGCCGACACGAGACGAACCGCGACCGGCGCCGGAGCCGGCCGCAGGCGGCCCCACCCCGCCCGCCGGGTCGGCGGCGTGTCACACGCGCCCGCGGCCGCCAGCCGCCTCCTCACACCGAGCCGGCTTAGTGCGGACACGCGGCAGCCTACAGCCGCCCGACACGTCACACGCGTCACACCGAGCCGACCTAGTGCGAACACGCGGCAGTCTGTGTGTCATTGGGGCTTTACGACGCACTCACCTGCTGAGGCTATATGGCGTCGCCTGTCTCTCACCCTGGCAGGAAGGGCGGGCGCCGCGGGGAATCGAACCCCGTTCCTCTGGTCTCCCAGACGCGCAGTGGTTAACGCAGGCGCGTAAACCACTACACTACCGGCACCCACGGCAGTCTGTGGCCGCCCGTC